CTTCCATACCTGCCCAATTTGTTTCTGAATTTGGTGTTTTACAAGGAATCTGGCATATCAGCATGCTATTTGGAATAAGAAATGTGGTACATCAGCATGCTAGCTGAAAACCACCTACATTCTCTGAGCTTGTTATACCTTTTTCTGCCCTTGTAGGTTTATTATTAAACATTTAATTAATATCTCTGTTCTGCTGAGGTGTATGTCTATTGGCTTAGCTAGTAAGCAGTGAGGACAAAGCATCTAATAGCTGTTGGAAAGTCAATTATTAGATATAAATGAAAATATTAGTACTCATATTTCAAAGCTGATAGAGTTAAGCTTCTCAGAAAAAAATAAAATTTATTGTGAAGGACCACATATAATTTGCAATACAATCCCAAATTTCTTTCCTTTATAACAAAATGAGTACCATTCAGAAGTGGAATTATTAGCGCGTTCTAATCTTTCATGCCGCACTAATCTGTTTAATCAAAGCTCCATCTCAGTTTGTCTAAGCATGCTGCCTGCCTCTGAAGGGCAAATCGCATTCCATCTAACAGCATGTGGTTTTAAAAGAGAATGCACTTGTTTTTACTCCCTGGGTAATGAGTTTAAAATCACTTTGTACTTTTGAAAAAAGAGTCAAGTTACAAGCAGCTTGGCTTATGTGACTATATTTAAAATTTACATAGGAATCTGCAAAATAGAAGGCTCTGTGCTGTGCTGGTTTCTCACTTGTTTACAAATTTGTTCTAAAATATTAGTTCTCTTTGCACATATTTGTAGGAAACTTGGGACTTGAAATATGTATATTTTACATAAAGTTGAGAACAGAGTGGCAAGAGCATGGCTCAAATAAGATTTTAAGAAGACAAAGACAAGTGACAAATACTAAAAAACCTTGATTAGTTATGCCAAGTGTTCCTAATTAAAAACCCTCCTTCGTATCAGTTCTTGTGCAGCCGTGGCTTTTCACAGACACTTGAGGTTGCCTGTCTGAGATTTGAAATGTATCAACATAGTTTTCTCTAAATAGCTTTTAACAGAGGAGCAGTCTATTCAAAACCCAAATAAACTAGAGCTGTGACAAGCAAAAGGGCTACAGTATTCCTTATTTTCTTTGGCCTTTGAGTATAAACTTTTAAATACAATTTCTCCTCTACTGTTTCCCATAGGAGCTGATACAGAAATCAGTGAGGTTTTAGAATGATATTTAATCAACCACGACAGACATATCCCAGAATGCCTATCACAGTCTTGTTCCTTTCTGTATTTTTTTAATGTCATTTCACCAGCCCCAACAGAAGTTCCTTAACCTTTCAGCTTCTCTGAAAGTTGAATTTAGAAGCCACCAATAATGGAACCACTTAAGCCGGTTGCTAAAATCCACATCCCTGGGCCCACCCAAACTTGTTAAATTAGAATATGTAATTCCAGGGCTTGGGAATCTGCACATTCACAAATCTAAGAAAACACTGCCATAAAACTGGATGACTACTCTGTCTAGTGTTAAACCTGTCTGCCTTGAGGTTAAGGTTCTCTCTCTCTCTCTCTCTCTCTCTCTCTCTCTCACAAACACACACACAAACACACACACTCACACACACAGACAATACACACTTGCAGTCTTTATATGCCCTTCCATTTGTTCCTAGGTAATCTATCTGTGGGGGATTGGTTCCAGGAAGGACCCCAGAGGATACCAACACCCATGGATGCTCAAGTCCCTTATATAATAAGTTGTAATATTTGCATACAAACTATGCATATCCTCCTGTATGCCTAAAATCATCTTTAGATAACCTGTAATATCTAATATAATGCAAATGCTACGTAACAGTTGTTATATTGTTTTGAATTATTTTTATTATTGATTGTTATTTCTTATTATTCTTCCTCAAGTATTTTCTACAGATGGTTGGTTGAATCTGCCGATGTGAAATCCCATAAATAGAGAGGGATGCCTGTACTGTCTGACATTCTACAGGCATAAATGAATTGTTTATAAGCTTTTAAACACTTACAGAGATTTAGAGATACATTTCACCTAATGGTGTATTTAGTGGACATTGACTGGTAGGGGTAGATAGAAAAACTGGAAAAACATAGAAAATGTTCATCTTTAAGTAAGAACTTCAAAACACATTTCATCCTTGATAGGACTCATTAATCTATTTCTAATTAAAAAAAAAAGCAAGAGAACATTTGAAAATCTGATATCAAACAGGATAAATGTCATATCTGCCTAATGAATGAAATGACAATCTTCAGCAATGCACTAAATTCTTATTTGCACATGTGGAAAATTATAACATTAGGAAAAAGTAAACTCACCACTTCTTCATGTCTACATTTGCTCACATTAATGCCATTTATCTGCAATGAAAAGAAAAGCATAGTTTCCTATGGCGTATTGTAAACTGAGTTAATGTTTTGACCACAAATATAATGATAAAACGTATACCTGTAGAATTGCATCTCCAATAAAGAGTAGTCCTGAAAGTTCCGCTGTGAATGAAAAAGCACAGTTGATAACACATTGACTATTTTTGCTATTCAGATGAAAGAACTTTTAATTAAAGATAAAATTTACAAATATAAAAATTAAGTGTTTTATATGGTTAGCATCTTAAAAGATCCAGAAAAAAATGGAAATTCAAAACAATATGATTCGGTCTAATTACTGAAGCACATGCAGATACATTTACTTTTACTATTGCAGACCTAACAGTTGCTAAAAGTGAGCCGCTTTTCTAAGGGTAGGAGACCACATTTTCTAATGCACTTAAGATTATTAGGTCTCTGTGAAAAAGTTTAAGACATAGACATTTAATCCGTCATCTATGAAATTGGCTCCAAGTTCATTTTTAAACATTATATTGTTTTACTAATTTCAGTTATTGCAACATCTGCTTTATATCTCCATTAGTTTTCCTACAGTTTCTTATGAATGGTTAGCTGAGTAAAATTGCAAATTAGAACTGAAAAACAGATACTTTAAATTGTCTTTACTCAATGGGACTTGTTATCATTACTTTTGTATCTTTGTTGGTTTAATGAAACAACTGAAAAGCCGTGCAGTCCCTAACTCATACCTGCTTTCATGGGTTCCTATCTTTCATCCTTGTTCCCCTTCTGTGAGAGAAGCCCTCCCCGACAAGAGGATAAAGGGAAAGGACCCAGGAAGCGAACTCAGCCACTAATGCCTGAAGGTGGGGAAGCTGAAGCCAGTCAATCACATCATAATTTATGATTCTTAAATATCATGTCACACTTCAAAAACAATGTCTTAAAGAAATGGCTGGTACACAATTCTCTAAACACGTTACCTCTTTGTTCCTTGGAGATTTTTGAAACGACAACCGGAATGTTATGTTCTGCTCCTCCCTGAAAGGAGAAAATCATATACTGTACTTTTTAATCTAAAAAAACAAAAAAAAACAGAAAAAACCAAAATGCTGCTTTTAGCTAAGAAACGATACAGGTTCTGAATGGAATGTTAAGTGGATACTGGCCAGAATTTAAATAAACTTGTAGAATTTCTCCACTAAGGAGATAGTGCTCCCATGAAAATTATCTACCTGTTTAGAATTTTGCTGAGACATCCAATAATAACAACTGGCTTTGAAAGTTTTCATTTATCAACAAATATTGATTATGTATTTAGATAGGTATTCTCTTCAATGTGTAACAATGCTGTCCAATAGAAATTCTTACTTAGGATTCCAAACACCAGATAATTATATATTACTGGTATCCTGCTAAGTTATTCTATGCTGGCAGCTAAGGGCTTTTGGTGGTGCAGTGACCCCTTGGATGCCAAGGAAGCAGAGAGAACTTTACCCGAACAAATGGATAAACAAAATCAGAATGTGCATATGCATGAAAAACCAGGGATTCATCTGCATTTCCTTCCTTAGTATTGAATTCCTCTTTGTGTGAAAGCACATACTAAAAATTTTACAGAGTAAAACATACTGCCAAGAATATTGAAGTACTACTATTTGTTTATTTATTTGTTTGTTTGTTTCTTTGTTTGTTGAGATGGAGACTTGCTCTGTCGCCCAGGCTGGAGTGCAGTGGTGCGATCTTTGTTCAATGCAACCTTAGCCTCCCAGGTTCACACCATTCTCCTGCCTCAGCCTCCCGAGTAGCTGGGACTATAGGTGTGCCACACCGAGCTAATTTTTGTATTTTTAGTACAGACGGGGTTTCACCATGTTGGCCAGGATAGTTTCGATCTCCTGACCTTGTGATCCATCCGCCTCAGCCTCCCAAAGTGCTGGGATTACAGACGTGAGTCACCGCACCCGGCCTGCAATAGTACTATTTTTTATTTGACCCAATGAGATATGAAAAAAGAAAGACAAGTAAGCTAAATTTATGTGAAGGAAAATAAAATGAATCCTTAAAAACTGAACAAAAATCCCATTTTTTTATTACAGTGTTTAGAAAGTTAAAAGCAGTAGTCGAAAAATGAAATCAGTACATAAAAGAATAAAATGTCACACATGAAAAGAAGCATAGAACTTGTAACACAGGCTAGTTGAAAAGACAGTCTGAATTCCATTGAAGTTGTTCTATCTTCAGAATATGTAAACCACCTAAGCCTTCTGTTTTCCAAGCACAAAAAATTATTTTGGAAGAGATACTCTTTTTTCCCTTGCATGTCCATTTTTAACACTGAATTGCCAGTATACTTAAATATAAAATAGCCAATCATTTTTTTTAAAAGCAGGAATATTTAATTTTTTTTTCTTGGCAAGTAGAGTCCTTTCCACTTCCAGAATATTAAGAAGAAATATGATAATTAAGATAATGAAAACTGTCCTACTCACACTGAATTTCAAGTGCACTGCTCAATTCCCTTTTCCTCACTGTTTCACAGCAACCTAATATTCGTGCACTGCACCCCTCAGCTCTATGTGGGAAGACACTGGTGTAGGTTACAATGGCTCCCACTTGTTCTGCTGGTTGGTCTGTGTGTCCCTAACAAACACAGACTGTGTCTAAGATGACCCTGCCTCTGATTAGAGCAGAGATAGTGATTTGTGGCTGATAGTGTGGTGGAAATTACGTGCTTATTTGCACACAGTAAACACTGAATAAAGGATGGCTATTATGCTAACATAGTCCATCTATTAAGATTTATGAGGAAACTCACATAGCATTAAAGTGGTAAATAAGATTAGGACTAATCCCCTCAAAGATCCTTAATATTTATAAGTTAGGACTCCAAATTTCCAATCCCCTAGTATATGCTCCATTTTGTCCCATTACAGTTATCAGTATCTAACATGCTATTTATTCATTTCTCACACTTACTGTTTTCTTTCTCCTTCCCATTCCTAACTAAAATGCAAATTTCTTCAGGGGACAGACGTTATTGGTAGTTTGTTTCCTGCATTGATGTAAACCTAGTGCCTGAAATAATGTCTGGTTTATCTTTGAAATGTTTGTTGAATTGAATGAATGAATGAATTAATGAAGTCTAAGGCTTTCCCAGGCCTAGTGTAAGGTCACTGATAGCCTCTAGAGATACTTGGAAATTAGAAAGGATGTTAAGGATGCATCTACATTTCTTAGAAGGAAAAAGCTGGTTAACTCAAATGAGTCATTAACTGATGAACTTTTAGGTGAAATTAAAAGATGAAGCCATCATCTAGATATAGTGATTCAGATATTTTGGGACAGGGAAAAGCAATGTTTTTGCTGGTCTCATCAGTGAGGCTGTTATCAGACTATTTTCCTTCAGCTGTTTTTGCATTTCACCCTTTTCTCTTACTCTACTACTGAACACAAATTATTTTAATGCATAGACTATTAATGCAAGTTACCATGGCGGGACATTGGGAAACCTATTCTTGGTGTCCAGAGACAAGGCTTTTGAGATAGAGTTTTTCTGCAGGTTGGCTCAATAATCCCATTCTTTCTTCAACACCCAGACTGGTACAGCAATCCCCTGCTTATTTGTGTTTCGCTTTCTGTGCTTTCAGTTATCTAGGATACAGTACAATACAGTATTTTGTGAGAGAAAGGAAGCACATTCACATAACTTTTATTATAGTGTATTGTTATAATTGTTCCATTGTATTATTAGTTACTGTTCATCTTTTACTATACTAATTTTCAAATTAAACTTTATCACAAATATGCATATGTAAGCAAATATATTATATGCAGTATAGGATTCAATACTGTCTGCAGTTCCGGGCAACTACTGGGGTCTTGGAATGCATCCCCCAAGGCTAAGGGGAGAGTATTATAACTATCTTTGTAATGCAAAATGTAACTAACATTTATTTTACCATAATTTTTCTTTTACATGTAAAATTTATCCTAAAATTTGAGTGGTTTGAATCCAAACATGGCTTTTGGGTTTTGTTGTTCTGTTTTTATTTTATTTTATTTTTTTGAGAGGGAGTCTCACTCTGTTCACAGGCTGGAGTGCAATGGCACGATCTTGACTCATTGCAACCTCTACTTCCCAGTTCAGGTGATTCTCCCGCCTCAGTCTCCTGAGTAGCTGGGATTACAGGCACCCAGCATCATGCCCCACTAATTTTGGTATTTTTGTAGAGATGGGATTTCACCATGTTGGCCAGGCTGGTCTTGAACCCCTCCCTGACCTCGGGTGATCTGCCTGCCTCGACCTCCCAAAATGCTGGGATTATAGGCATAAGCCACTGCCTCTGGACTGTTTTTTTGTTGTTGTTGTTTTTGTTTTTTTGTTTTTTGCTTTTAAATTAGACATTTGGAGCCTGACATACTTTTTAAACTAATTTCTGAAAATGACTTTAGTAATTACTAAATTTTAAGACAAAACTCAGAAGATAAAATTGGAACTCAAAATCATATTGCCTTCATTACTGAAAAAAATGTGAGCAGCTCAGCTGCTATAGTTAATTAGATTTCATGCAGGGCCTAAATAGGGAAATGTAAGGTTTTCCAGTCAATAATCAAATTATGTGGCTTGCCCTGTTTAAAACAGGTGATAGGCTTCCATGACACTTGAATAATAATGAGAATCTTTAAACTGCCCCTCTTCCAGTGCAGCTCCTGGACCTCCATCGCCCTGAACCTGAAGGACACCAGCATGCACTGTTGTCTGGCCAGGTATGCTCCTCCCTCTCTCCTAACCTGGAAACTGTTCATTTTGAAATTCTGGCTTAAAGCCTCCTCCTTCAGTGTCTCCTTACTTGAAATAATTCAGTTATGTAGCACCGGATCATGCCTATGATTTACATTTATTTTGGTAACAATTTGATCAAAGTCTACTTTCCTACTGGAGTATAAATGGCATGCGGTCGGGGAAAGGCTTTCATCACCATCTTATCCCCAAGGCACTCCTGGGTGGGGCTGTGGCTCCTGACTGTGGTTTAGAGAATGTTGGAATTAACTGAGCACTGTTATTCTAGTTTATGGAGAAATCCAAGATTAGGAAAAGGGAGGCAGTGTTCTAAAGCACAGCCCAGGTAATGTTCACACATACATCGTTCAGCTTTGTAGTATTCTTTTTACAACACATAGTGGATTTTATAGCTAGCTCTGTAGGAAGAAGGATATAAAATCCCATCTAAAGCATTTTGAGAAGGACTCAACACAATGATTTTACCAGTGTTACTGTGAAATATCACCAAATACAACCTGGACTGCTTTTAGAGCATCAGGAGTCTTGCCAAGTAATCTTTTCAGTTCAATATTATTATTGCTCCAATCAGTCAATCATATTATGGGGCATGGGGTGCAGGGAAGATGCATAGAGCTAACCATTACTTTTCCTTTTAGAGAAAGGAAACTACTTGTAAGCAGAGAATAACAGTAATTAGAGTTAAGAGCTGCAATGGACAATTACAGAAGACGCAAGTAAAGGGATATCACCTGGAGGAATATGGGCAAGAGTCATCATCTTTCTGGATGCTATCTTTGTCTGCCAACATACTTCGTTTGATTTTGGGAAAAAAATAATTGTCTTTTTCACATGCTATATGATTACCTTCATATGAAAGTCTAAAATAGGGAAATGGTCATTACTCAGCGGTGAAATAGGGGAGATAGGGAATAAAAGTGTGATGAATAAATATGAGATTTCTTCTGGATTGATTGAATGTTCTAAAATTGACTGTCGTGATAGTTACAAAGATCTATGGATATACTAAAAACAATTTAATTGTACACTTTAAATGGATAAATTGTATGGTATTGGAATTATACCTCAATAAAGCCATTTAATACAAAAAAAGTAATGGTCTTTGAAATAACTGACCAGTGGTTTCAACTAATTCTTGGGACTAATTCATAATCCTCAATTTAAGCTTTAGTGTCTTCCTGTTATCTCCATTTTTTGTTTTTTGAGATGGAGTCTCACTCTGTTGCCCAGGCTGGAG